CGAGAATTTACCAGTGATACTGATGATGATGATTGATTCAACGAGAGTGTCCGTACAAATCGTAAGGTGCCCAAAGAGTATCAAGTGGACAAGGCCGTCTCGAGTCTAACCTAAACCATGGCTTTCCACTACCGGACCAATGTAGCAAACTCACCGGACCAGGATGAAGATTCCGGCAACTTCCCTTCACGTTATCTCCTCCAAGTCCATGCTGGTTCCATCTATGCTCTATTGGCGCAACGTCTCCGGCGAAAACAAGCAAGAAAGGTGGCAAAGAACCAAGCTCATAGATTCTATCACTCTTCTGAATCTCCATCCATTTCTCTATCATCTTAGTGTACCCCATTCGTCTCCATTTCTCTAAATCCACAACCATCACTCCGGTATTGAAGTAACAAGGCTTCCTACCTCCAAACGCATCGGTAAACCGCTCGTCTGACCAAAACGCCGATGTGAAGTACTTCGAGAAATTCGCGTGACAGTATTCCGGAGCTCCGATCGTTTTCGGACCTAATCGAGTCTCCCAAAGCTTAGCTATATCATCGACGACGATGAGATCGGAATCAAGATAGATCACACGACGAACACAAGGCTCTAACAGATCAGCGAGGTAATTTCTAGCGTAATTCAATGGTTGCTCAAGTGCTTGCCTCACGGAAGATGAAATCAGTCTCCTAACAATCTCAGGATCGAAGTAATACACCTTGAAATTCAATTGGGGGAAAGTAGAACGAACCAGAGATTCTAGGTCAATCTCGGAGACTAAGAAATGGAAGAAGACGCTCTCAGGACAAACAGAGTGTTGGAGAATCGAATTAACGGCGGCGATTGATCCACGGAGATACTCAATGTCGAGAGTGATGGCGACGTGAACCAGTGAAGGGTTACAAACGCCGGAATCTCTGTCGGCGGTGGGACAACCGACGGCATTGGGGAACAATGGCGATTTTCTGAAGAAGAATCCGTGCGGCGGCGAATCAGAAAACGAGAATCTCAAGTACTCATCGAGATGCGAAGATCTGAATGCTTCGGCGGGAGGAAAGGAGTGTAGAGAAGGAGAGATAGCGATGATTACCAAAACGACGGAGAAGAAGCCGGAGAATCGCGTGATCCAAAGCATCCTGAGATGACGACGAATCAATCCTCCTCTCCGCTTCTTCTTCGATTTGAAATCTAACCGCCGATCAGCGACGACGGAGTCGACGTAAGACCGGAGGTATCAAATTCGGCGCATAGAGAGAAGAAACCAAATATAATCGAATGTATATGAACAAATAGGAATTTTCTGGGAAAAAAATCAAAAGTGGCCTGGAAATGGAAGCGAAACAAGAACGGCGTAAGATAAGGAGGAGGCCGTGCTAGGTTGGGCCACCGTCTCCGTTTCTAAATTACGCCACTCTCCTCCTCTGGATAAGGGTTCCTCCGATTTCTCTCCTTATTAAGCCAAAACAGCTTTTTTCTTTTAATTTCAATCAAACAAATTTTATTTGATTTCGTCGTCTGGCTAAATTAAAATTATTAATTCCATAAAAATAAATTTCATGTGGATTTTAGGGAAAATATCTTATTACTTTCTGTGATAAATACATGCAGCATCAGCATCATCTTTAGTAGGAGAAAAATTAGAGAAATGTGTGTAATGTTTGATGTCATTATCAAGCAAACGGTTTACCATTGATGTACCGAGTCTGCTAAACCGGCTGGTTATAAAGATTAAGCTGGTTGGTGCATGTTTTACTCAGAATTATTAACCAAAAACATATGATTAGAAAAATGAGAGTTAATATTATTAGTTTTGATGTCACGACACTCCAACTAACTAGGTTAATGGTTAATAAACAACCAGTTTTATAATAAGTAGATTGGTACGAAGATAACGTATGTAGATTAGTATTCGTTTCTTCTGGTTTCAAAATAACTTAAATTCTAGTATAAATTTGGTTATTGAATTAAAATAATTTAGGTGGATTCCTGAAGCAGATTCTTCTCTATGAAATGGACAAATGATAAAAAATACTGTATCAAATTTTATTTGGGCCTAAAAGGACTTTTGTATAGACTCATTGGAACTCCTTTAAATATCAAATTTAAATCATGAAAAATTGCTAGTATTAGTTTACGCGAAAGAAATACAAACCATACTTAAGGGTTAGTGATCAGATTACAACACAACACAAATCATTGAATCGTTATGATGTAAGCAATGTCGGTTCTTAAAGACTATCTGCTTTGGACAGCATCATTCATCAAGTACTCGTAACTTGTACAATGATTTTTTAAATTGGTCGTTACTTAACGATTTGCAAATCGTAACCACACGTAAAGATACGAATTCAATGCATCATTGGTCAAGCAAATTAAAAAAAGTCAACCAAAGAATACTAGTATATTATCTATATAAAAATAAAAACAAATAATCCCAAATGCCAACACGTCCCCGTGAACCAAATAATTAAAAAATAGGTAGTTAGAAGTTACGACGACGTAAATGCAAATCTTTATGGAGTATATTTTTTGCTCAGAAATTCGTCCACAAAATTATAAACAGTTGGATGATGGATCAATTATACTTTATTAATTTATTAGTATTTCAGTACTTTCAGATTTTATAAGTTTAACAGTGCATATCAAAATCACAACTTTAACATCGATAGTATCCATTTTATTTATTGTTCTTTTTTTTGAAACTTTATTGTTCTTGAAAATGGGATTTAAATTTACCTAATAGGTGAGAGTAAAATCGAAGCAGAGGAAAGTTTCGGTACATCGCGGTGCACGAGATTTCCCTGCGTCTTCAATATCGATTTGTAAATCTCCACAAGCTTCTTCTCATCATACTCCCTCGAAGCTAA